ATTGGCCGATCGTCCTGAGGTGGCTTTGGCTAAGGAAAAAGCGAAGAGGAATGGCATGCTGCAGACTGGGAATTTGGGTAAGAGCATGTGATTTTCTAGATTTACGATCAATGTAACTCATCCTAGAAATGAAACTATTTTTTCTAACGTGAGAATGACTACACTGAAAGAAAATAAGTAGCGTACAAAATATGTCCGTCGACTAGGCGTATGCGATAATTACAAAATTACGCTTTAGGTATGGTGCATAGATTTAAGTTTCGAAACAGTGCATGAGTTATTTTAATCTCTGAGCATACGTCATTATGCGGAATTCATTTTGACCACCTTAGATGAATTCTGGATTAAATTTTAACGATATAATTCGACAGACAATTAAGAATTTTAGGAAGAAATTATGTTGAAAGCCTGAGCAAGTAGGCACGAGCCGACGAAAACAGAGATGGATTGCACTAGGGGGATTGCAGTTGGCCTTAGCGGTACCCCAATATATCAGTGAAAGCGAATAATAAGTTGGAAGCCTACGAGAAATCGAGCGTTGGACTAGAAGAAGGACATCCTGATAGCTGATCCTTCAGAATTTACACCCATTCAACCAAGAGCCTCGTCGATAAGATGGACTCGCACCATTGCGTAGACACCTGAACATGTATTTGGGTCATCGAAAGCAAATTTGATGGCAAGCGCTTCACACGGCATACAATCCAAGCCGACAGTCACATTTGCATAATCTATTGAACGATTCTGTGTCTAACGCACAAAATTGCAACTACTAGAGATTTCGCACCTAAGGACTCCAAACCCCTACATAAAAAATTTTAAACAGGACGACAGAGTCACAGCTTCCATAATTTCTTTTGTAAACTCTTTGCTTGTAAAAAAAACTGTTATTGTCTTAACTTCATTAGCCTTCCTGCCTCTACACAGACTGCTTTTACTAGTTGCCGAATTTCGTAAGCTGACGTGCCCAATCAATCAGCGTTAGTGAACACAATGACAAATCAAGGCTGCCAGGGTAAGTTCAAGCGGGACCGAATGGCTTCCATAAATTTATCTGTGCTCCTGAAGCAAGTGACTTGGGTGTGATTCAATAATTGGAGAGAGAGCAGCTTACCCGGTGGTAAACGAGGATGAACATGGTTTGAGCAGTGAAGAAGCTGATTTCGAATCCCGATTTGAAGACCTCGGGCCAGTGAATTGGGGGCCGATGCCTTATCTCATAAAGCTTAATGGCACTTTGTCCGATGCTCATTGCAGCGAACACTACAGTAAAAGGTAAAAAAGGGTAAAAAAGTAATTCCAACTGGAGACTCTTTGTCAGACATACTTCCCCAGTTGTGGGCAAATGATAACGTGACTTGCTTGGTCGCTTGAAAAAAAAACAGGAGCTAAGTGCTAGGTGTCAAGATTACGTAAGGGCCGATCGCTCATTTGCTAACTCAATAAGTGGAGCAAGCGATACCCCTCTGTACAACCGCCTATGTGTCGAATCTGCAAAAGCCAGATTCGTGCAATAAGTCGAATTTACACCCCACTTATCTTTTAGTAAAAGCATCGAATTGCGAATGCTGCGAAACGTAAGTCAATGGTGCAGGAATGACTCAAAACAAAGCAAATATGCCCTCTGCAACTGTAGCTTCAGTGGCACTAACAGACAATACCGCAGTGACACGTTTTTGGATGTTATACAATGAATCAGATGGATCGGAGCAGTTCAACACCAGGAAATTGGAATTGTTTTGTTCACAGCTTGCGTGTCATCGGAAAAGCAAGATCACTCGGTTTCTTGGAACGGCGATTCTGCTGCCCCAGAAGGCCTCGTCTTCTGGTGCACAACAGGTGCCAAGACAGAAAGGCTTTAGCTCAGTTCCTCGAGTTAGACAAATTACGCACAAGACCGGTATTTGTTCTTACAAGCGGAAATTTTTGTACTCGAATGGTCAAGGGGCAAAAAACTGGTAGCTCCAAAGCGTTTGTCTCTCAGAGCAGCACAGACTGCCAGAATAGGTTTGGTGTTTTTTTTAGAATGTGTGCGTGCAAAGGGCCCAGGAAAACGCAAACTGGGGTTTCTAAAATGCCAATCAAGCGAAGAGGAGCAACGAAAGCCCTGATAATGAAAATATTTTGCCAGGATACCAAAAATCATTCCAATTGCTACGCATTTGGTGTCAAAATTAATCGACTAAATGGAATTAAGCAGACGACGTAATAAAACGCCATGTATTTTACACACTGAACAAGGGTGATCTTGTGGGAGGCGTTAAATCGGAACAATATTTAGACCTGTACCTGGGGACCTGCTGTGCAGGTCAAGAGAGGGACAATGGCAAGTTGCAAGGTTGGAAAGTTAGCACATTCCTTTCAAAGCCCACTACACACCACAGGGTAGTTCAGCAGCGAGAAACTCCACGTCGACTCTGAACGGAGGACTTAGGAATGAGCCACAGAGCTGCTCATGGTGGCACGCGAATGCCGTCGACAGTGTGGGCCACGTCGAAGCTTGATCGTGCCAGCACAAACCTCTGGAAGCCGAGTTTAAGCATCATGAAGGCTTCAATCGTATTGGACCACCGCCTTGACACTCACAAATGAGAATCTAAGAGGGCTTTGGGGGGGGGAGGGAACAGTTCAACGTGCGAAGACTATTCAGTGGCCAGGAAACAAAGAGAATGTTCGCAGTAGTCACGCACGACACTTTTATCAACCAAATCTAAGACCATGACGAAATTCCTTACATCAGCATCATTGCTCTGCATGCTGCACAATGGTATGTCAGCTTACTAAGCTTCTTTCAAGTAATGATGCAGCTGGAGGTGATTTCTGCTTTAACAGAATTCTACCAAATTGGAATTCAGTAAAAAGGTGCATTCAAAATACGGATTAATTTGTAACATGTACCTAAACGCTACGAAGCATGCAGTTTATAAACAAAATTTTGAGTGTGCTCGGCATAAATTAAAACCCAAGTAAGTGTGCGCGAAAGGAGCGAGGTAACACATCATTATTTACTAAGCACAAGTTGCTAAGAGCGGTAAGCACTCAAATGACAACCTGGCACAACGTCGCTTGGAGTTTGGGCTTGCTTACTTCCTCGTGTGACCTAATATTGGTTTTAAGCACAACTGGGGCAGAAACTAAATGAGAGTGCTTTGACTGACACAGTACTGGCATAAACAAAATCCTTTATTAGTAGAAGTATATAGCGCTGTGCTGGAGCATAGCTGAGATTAAGAAAAGGCCCTAATGTCTTTTTGTTATGGCTAATTGATTGAGTGTTTGAGTTGGTGTTTAAATGCCGGGCATAACTGGACCCTTGGCAGGCGGGCAGGCAGTTGGGGGAGAGGGGGGGCATGGTGGAAGTGTGACCGGGACGAGTGACGGCCAACCCAGCGAGACACTCAATTATCTCGTGGGAGTTTCAGTGGTGCTGACGCGCGCACGCTGACCGTCACCACCCCGTGGGGACTGCGCTTTTTACTGGTTGGGGTGGGGGGATTCGCTCAGGTGACCTGGCAACCGGGTTTTTGCACGTGTGTGGTGCAGGGCTAGGTTTGCCAGTCAGAGGCCTTGTCGATGGTCGCCGGACTTGTAGAATTTTGCGAAAATTTGACAAGCAAGTGTTCCTACTTTAGCGACTATGCGCATTTTAAATCAAAAAAATATTAAGCCTTTTTTCATCCTATTCACAATTTCGCCTCGTCTGCTGAATGAACACCAGATCGCATAAATTGTACTACCGATAAATCGTGAAGTTTAAACATGGTGGAACGAATTCCCAAACACAAGAACTTATACGGTATTTCAATTTTTCCCCATAAAGCGACTAATAGATGGTGAAATCGAGGTGAGTAAAAGCGATGTAAATTTATAAAAGCGATGTAAATTTTTGTGCACTTCAAAAGACCCCATCACTAACAGCAAAAGTGCTCCAAGTGTCCAACTTTACTGCACGGAGGTCAGGAAGATCAGAAACAGACCAACCTCATGTGTGCTAGTTATGCTTTACCATCTAGTGGGATTCACTAAATTGCGATTGACATAACGAAGAACTCCGTTGTCAACACCTTTCATTTAGTAATGCAAAATTTTGTCGAGTAAATTGTCCCACTATTTCATAGTTAAAAGTCCGATAAACCCCATCGTGAATGTTACCAGACAACAAACTTTGAATGCAAAATGATGGCGCATTTTCGGAATTGAGATGGTTGTTGATGGGCCAGATGTAACGGCATCCCGTGAGCTCCTCCGAAATCCATCTGCTTCAACATTTGTCAGGGTTACGTGCATAGGATAGTTAATTAAATAATTTTTTTAAAAATCTTTCGATAGACATCTTTTTGTCGACTAAAGACAATTGTGAGGTACAAAAATACTTAGAGACGAGAAGACTGGTTTGGAGTGAATTGTTTTAATTCTCCGCCTTAATCATCGTTGCTGCATGTCTAGACACCTTGGTACTCCACCCCCGCCGTTACAACCACATTGGTTAACTGTCATGCCCCCACGGTGTGCGTCAGTGTTTTATAGGCACTCCATGGCCTTGTGGGCTTACGACAGCACAAGTGGGCCGGGCCGTCTGCTAAGCGCTCGTCGCCGCCGCCGCCGCCGCCAGTCTCCCTAACCTCCCAGGGTGCGTGTGGGGGGCTCCAGTGGGTTTAGCAACCCCGGCGGGCTCACTGGGCTCAACCACGTACCACAAGAAGCATTCCATTACTTAGGTACCCCCTACGGCTTACACGTTTGGGACCATATTTACTGTTTACGTGTTAGTCCCCGTGGTGCCGAGCAGACCACAGTGAATAGAGATCGTTCTCTGCCCCAAAGACAGCAATCTGCAAAGGCTTGATGCCAAGACGATCGTTGGACAAAGCAGCCTCTCTACGATGAGTTGATTTGCTTCCAAAAGCTGCTCACCTGATGAGTGGCAGCAATGCAAAGGGTGCACGGCAAAATGAGTCCTTGTGTACACGACTACTCTACGAATTTACTAGAAACCAGAAAAATTGCTTCTAAAGCATCCTCCAGTGCAGTCCCAAGCAAAAAACACAACCCCCTTCTAACGAGGAGGCAGATCTAAGGTCACACAAAAGGGCATCGCCGGACCGACGGAGATGTGTGCGACAGTAGGACGGAGGTCAAGTAAGTGCTTGGGGGAAACGATAGAAACACCGGGCAGTTACGGTTTATGCTTGAATATGGAATTATTACCAAGCGGGAAACTTAAATTCCCTTAATGGGAGTTCTTGGTCAAGTGGACTTGCCACCAAAATACTGCCGGGGCAAAAAGTGACTGTTTGTCGATTTTAGCGGGACGGTCGATGGCCTGACAAAAGGGCAGCTAATGCCGAAAGTCCACATGCTTACGCTCTGCCACGTGACTTGTTGACATTAAGTTTACGCGTGAAATGGGAAGTTGGTGTTGAGAAACATGGCACAGGTAAGGGAGTAGTTAGCGACTCGACACGAGGCTCAAATAGCTTAGTCACATTACCCGTTCTAGCAAGCCAACATCAGTGCATTTCAATAAAGCCAATCAACTGCATTCGGATATGTAGACGACTCACGTTTTATAACAGTAAGGGTGCAGCAACACAAAATTTAATGATTTGCAGTAATATATGCATCAGCGGAGTAGCGTGCACTAAGTGTGGGCCCCGATTGACAACGTCGCCTTTTTTGCATGAATTCATTCATATCCGGTCAGGACATGAATCTCGTTTCAAAATGGCATTAGTCTTTATTCTTGACTAATTGTAATTCGAATTTTAACTTATGATAACTCTTTACTAATTTTTACCTACGAGTCTAAAGAGGTGATTTTTGCACCAAGTTTAAATAAATTGGACACAAGTATGCAAGTTCGACGCCAAGGGGGAGATCGACGTTGGTAGATAGACCCAATTACTCTAGAAACCAAGATATTGCCATAAATTACAGCATCATCAAGTAAGGTGGGAATGAAAAACAGTTACTTTTCAATAACACATCTCTAAACTACTGCGGTCATTTAGGAATAGATCAGATTTACTAATCGCACATGCGTGAATGGGCGCCTGATCAACACAGCATGGTGGTACGTTTTTCACGCTGACCCCACTGCTGCTAGCCAGCAACGCCAGCACTGCTTCGTGGATGTGGACAAGAGTGCCTGAACAAGGTGGTGCACAGACGACGACGACGACCACTAGAGGTTAAAAACAAACGGTGCGAACGGGCCTTACGTGCGAGACCGAGGCGCAGGTAGAGATTGACGGATTCGCCTTTGCTAGAGTACTTGACAATGAAGGCGACGGGTCCGGTGCTGCGCTGCGCCGCCTCGAAGGTCTCGGTCCTCTTCACGGCGAAGTAGACGATGGCGCCGAACATGACGCAGGTGCTCGTGGCGTAGAGCGCTCCGAGAAGCATGTCGTGGACCACTGCAGTGAGGCCATCCTGCAAACACAAACACCCTAGTGATTTAAGCATTCCTAGTGGCGCCACGGAGTGGTCCGACTTCTCTTCCTGCGCAACTTCACCCTTAGCGTGAGCAATCATTCATCCGATCCCACCGGTTACAAATTAAAACCCACTTCTCTTCCTTGTTTGTTTATCTGGTGTCAGGGATGTACATGAGTGGGAAAGTATCAGGCTGGTAAAAAAGTAACGTCAACTTACTATTATGTCCGAAATTGTGTCATTAAATACCTGGCTTTTAACTTGGTTTTGGATGCCGAATTAATTAATTTAGGCCAATTTCAACAGAGGCTATATTCACGATCAAATATGGTTTTAGGCATTGCTTTCTTCATCTTAACTGAGCAACTTGCAAGCGAGCATCACTGCTTCAGCACCAATTAGGTAGCACAAAATTGATGCAGAAAGACTGGATGATTCGCACATTTATCTGCTTGTTAAATGTGGTGCGAAAACAAAACTGGCATCTTGTTTTGAGATTAAGAAACACGTGCCAGCCTTTTGTCCTGACAGCAGTCGGGAACAAAAAGGGACGTCGTGAAATAAAAGGTGTGTCTACTAGGGGTTATCAATCGGCATGCAAGACAGTAAAAGCCGGAAGAAGTGAGTTGTTGTTTCAAACCTTTGATGAATTTCTTTACAGTTGAATTACCCAAATTCGGTATTAGCGATGGTCATCCATTACTCGGGACCGAGGAATATTAATTGTGTCACTGGACTCGTTGAATTACAAACGTGCTGCGAATAAACCCCATAGATGGGAATGCGGATAAACAAGTTTAAGAATGATTTGAATAAACGAAAGTAGGAAACTCGATTGGTGTGGTATCCGACACTAAGGTACATTAGTGACAGTTTCAAATAACCCTGGGTGCTTACAATTGCTAAATTTTGTTTTCGTTGAATTGAAGCCGCAAGACATTGCCAGTACTTTTTGGATGGCCGCCTCAAGGCTATTGTCGAGTAAGTAACTGATCGAAGCCAGCTGCATTCTGCGCCCACGTATTGAAAGGAGTTTACAAACTTCGCTTTAAAAATTTGGCTTTCCATTCAGGCTTTGGGGTTTGGTTCAAATTTTATGAGAACCACAGTTTTTTGTTAAGTGGTCGCTGGTCCTTTTTGCTCAAAGTTTTGAACCAACGGGATGCAGAACATTGAGGTGTCCTCTCGTGGTTACCCTCAGCTGAACGTCATTTACACACACACACACACGCACATTCGTGCATCGTTTAACTGAACATTACGAGTACGCCGGAAGCTTGTTACTAGAACGTAACCTCAGATTGATTTGCAGCCAAGTTATTTTGTTTGTGTTGTGGTGTTTTTTGCCAAAAGCAGTCAAAGCACCTCCCAGACAGTGGACCGAGAATAAAATGTGCGAGTATCTAAGCTTCCATGGAAATTATAGATCTCAGTAATAGTATATAAATGTGCATAAGTATGTTTAAAGCCATAAACGTCCAAACAATCACTGAAATGCATTATTTATGACATATACATAGGGCAAGTAAAAAATATTATTAGGTACTCGGTACTTCGCATAATCGTACCTTCATCTTCATCAAAGCAGCAGAAGGAATTCTCATGGACGTCAACGGAAAGTAGTGGTTTTAATGGTCTTTAAACGGTAAACTTACGATTCATAGAAATGAGGTGAGTGGGCCGAAAAAGACGCTCTGCATAAACGTCAACCTACTCCAGATTGGGGCGGCGGTAGCAAAGGAGTCGATCTGCAGACACTACAGTTGGTCTACGCAACTTTCAAGAGACGAGAAGTAACCCTCTTCGAACTACCCAACAACTACAAATGCCACTGGATCGGGTGCTGCGACTCACTTGTGGTGCAGTGAACTGGGCCGTGGCCAAGTGATCAGAACACACCGATAACGCTGTAAGGGCACGCCCATAACATTATGGGCTTAAGTGGTCAATTGTTTTATTTCGCTTATTCTAAAAACAACAATGTCTTGACGTCGGTGCAGTAGAAAACATCGACGTGTTGTGAGAGTTGGGGCCTTTGGAAACCAGCAACGCACCTTCCCCTTCGCGTGCTTTTTTGTCTGATTAGCTGACGGAAATTTGCATCATGCGGAGATGTTCGCGCTAGACACTCATGGACCATAAAACACGCCACTAACTTGAGAAAGTAGACGCATGCAGTGCAAGATTTTCCATCTGCCCAAAGACATGACGCAATGAGCAATTTAGGCAAACGAATTTGAGTGAAATGTGGGAGATGAATTGAGCCGGCACCATGCAGGAGCTCGGTCGAGAGCCGTCTACTCGCATCAAAGCAGCGCAGAACCACGTGACCGCAGCACACCAGGGGCGAATGAGTGTGATGGCCGAAACGGCACTGAGCTAATGGGTGTCACCATCCAAAAAGGGGAATTACAGTGTACGAAATGAATCGGCGGTCGTGGTTCAACCTCATCACCGGCGCACTCGTGCTGTGACTCGCGGTGCTGGCTTCATCAAGCCGGCACCACAACGGATGGGCGGGTGAGCGAGGCGGAAGAGGCGCAAATAGTGGTAAGCACAAGCTATGCCCAAACATGCAAATGCAAGTCTGTTCCATCACAGTGCTACATTAACTCACGCGTACTCGCCGCTGCAGTACTGACGTGCCGCACTAAATTGTGGCGAAAAGACATGACACTAAATACTTCAACTTGTTTAAAAAAATTACAGCGCGTGATAATAGATTAACGCGTAAATGGTTTTTTTTGCTTAATCAAAGGTAGGCGTGCATTTATATGGAACCGAGGTTTATCTAAACTTTTAGTGGGCTTCAGAAGCGACAGATTTAACTGACATTTGTAAATTCTCTTTGCCCAAAGTAGGAGAAAAACACCACCTGCAGACGTTGAGCTCATCCATTCTGAAGCACAATCGCCTGTCTGGTTTGTGTGCGCAAGTAGTAGGGATCTTGTCATGAGTACGTGTTTGGGAGTTATGCGGAAAGACAATATCTCTAAACTCGAGTCGTAAGTGAGGCTAAAAGTACGCGGATCTTTTTAATTGCACCGAGGTGCCAACATGATGGTCAAATTTTGGTGTTCGAGGAGTATGGTAAGAGACAGGAAGTATGCTAAGGTAACTCTTCAAAAACTACCCAGAGCACTCCATTTAGCTTCTCATCAACGGGTCATCCCGTGCTATTCAGGTTCGAAACACGTACACCGATAAGTTCAATGGCCAACGCTCCGCTAGCTCCAACATCAAACGTTCAGGACAATCATTTAGTCCTGACCAAACGATACATAATATTACTTTTCTAACCTAACGTAAACAGAATTGAAAACCAGCAAAAAGTAACAATATCACAGTGGCACGCTAAACAAATAGTGATCAAAAAAGTCTTAAAGGATATCCTATTTGTGTTAAAAAAAAGTGCACTCCAGCCAGCTAAGAAATTTCGCAATTTTAGATTAGATAGGTGGTCATGCTCAAGGCTACCAAGGTGGAAAAATTCTTCATGATTTTGTGGTTACGTGAGTACAGTTAGTGGGAGAATGCATTCAATGAATTTAGCAAAGTGATAGCCAAGTTTGGGAGGTGTGGGCAAAGTAGATTGGTCAGGGTGCCTGAGGAAGTTCGAATGGGGTGTTTCAATCTAAAACCCAACTACCGCCACTTGTCAAAGATGCAGAGCCCTCCAAGCTTTGCTGTTTTACATTAACCATGATTAGGTCAAGACTGGAATTTTACCATAAGGAATAAGGGAGATTCGAGGTGACGAGTTAGGATGATCTCTTCCACCAGGGTACATTAAGTTACCACTTATTGCTGTGATGTGTTACAGTATTTCTTACCTTATCATAATTAAATAAATTACACTTCAACTACGTAAGCCTAGTTAAAAGAAACCCCACTCGCGTTTCCCGTGTCTGATCCCCTTTTTCCTAACAATCGGGTTCGTCCTCTCCTCCTTCTCACTTCGCTATCCCTCCCTCCACGTTCCTTTGCCAGCCCAACTCAATCCACTCAGTTTTGTCCCACCCAAATCAGGCCCTGTTGGTACATCAAACGCCACAAGCGACCGATTCACACAAAAACGCATACCTTCCGGTAATTAGATTTCAATCAGTGGTTACTTTAAATTCAAAAACATTGAAATGCTTTCGGTTAGGTTTCACCTTGTCTACTTTTTCAAACCGGTGAGGTCTACAGATTTATCTAAGGCAAAAAACCAACTCGTGTAAATATGACATCCCACCAAAGAACCCCGTGTACGATTCGGTTTGTGGTTCACGATGACTGACCAAGCAGAGTCAAACCAATTAACTCATGGGCTCCACGAAGAAGCAAGTCCCCTTCATAGCATCGAATCGCTTTAAAACCGATCTCATTTCGAATGAAGTATTGCCAATTCAGCTTGCTTGACGTTCAACGCATGCAGGATTTGATTGACGAACGAGTCGTCAATAGTATAAGAGGAAGGCACCTCTGCTAACAGACTGAGTAACACCAGAGAGTGCAAAGTGTGTGTGTGTGTGTGCGTGTCCGCATTCAACAGAGCCAGCGTGAATGAAGGTCTAGGGGAAAAAACTGCTCCAATGTCTACAAGATCTACTTCCTTTGTGCTCGTTTCATATTTCGAACTTAGAAATCACATACCATGGAAGTGTTAGTTGATATAGGCAAAAACGCATCCAAAAGTTCCCACTCCAGGCACATAGCACACAGTTGGAACCTGACGGATAAAAAGGCGGTTTGATGGGGTCACTTGTTCAGCCTCCCGATAATGGGACGTATTAGCAACGAGATGTTTTCGATTCGTCCTTTATCAGAGCGTTAAAGTAAAGAGGAGCAGCTGACATCATATGCTTAAAGGGCGACCCAGCACTAAAAAAGTTTATTATTCCACCTACTGCTGTTTTCATCACCTTCCTGTCTAAAAACAGACCTGCTCCAAAACTTGCTGGGAATTTCCGCCTTTAGTCCCTATTGTGGTTAGTAAAAATTCTGCACCAGCTGCACCTCTTAAATACGCTTAACAATTTATGGTTATAAAACTCCCTAAATTACACGCAAAAGATGATGTGCCAAAATATCGAAATGCCTAAATATGTGAGTAA